CATAAAGTCCGAGATTAGGCCACTTACATTTACCTAAGAATGCTAGCCTGAAATCACTAGACTTGTGGATATTAACATATAAAGACTCCTAGAACTGAGCTGAAAATAAACCATCTCAAAGTTGCTGCATTTTACTGCCAACAGGAGTCCCACTCTCCCCTATGGCTAGCTGTCTTTAGCTATCCAAGCAGACATTCATTTCAAGGACTACCAAGTTTCCAGGCAACAGCTATAGCTGAGATTTCTGCAAAACAGTTATGTATAGTTTGGTGGTGGTAGTGTTGTTGTTGTGTGTGTGTGTGTGACAGAAAAGATCAAGGCAGAGTGGCATAAACAATATGGATAGAAAAGTGCCCTAGAATAGCCCATTTCAATTTGGCTGTGCACCATGCCTGGAGCATAGACAAAGGGCATAGAGCTAGACTGTTAAATGTCAGATTTTCCTGACAGCATTTTGGTGATTAAATCCAGGGATTTAGACTCAGGTAGTTTTTGGGAACACAAGCCAGATTCTTTATGCCTTCACTGCTTATTAATGATTGTATTTGAGCCATGGATACTTAAAGTTAATCGACTTTCTGGAAAATTAAAGCTAGTAAAATCCATTATTATATATAATTATCTTTAGATTAAAAAAAGATAATGGAGCCAGGTAGTGGTGGCACACGCCTTTAATCCCAGCACTTGGGAGGCAGAGGCAGGTGGATCGAGGCCAGCCTGGTCTACAAAGAGAGTTCCAGGACAGCTGAGGACTTAACAAAGAGAAACATTGTCTCAAAAAAAAAAAAAAAAAAAAAAAAAAAAGAAAAAGAAAACAGAAAAAAAACAAAAATAAAAAAACACCCTTCCAAAAAAAGGATAATGAAAAATGTGTTTTAATATCTATGTGTAGTCTTCAGAAAATCTGTTATTTCAGCCCGTGGCCTAGGAAAAGTATGAATTTTGGTCACACTGATAAGTCTGGTCTTAAGAAACAAAGATTGCTGGAGGAGTCACAGTGACTACAGCTTATATTGGTTTGTTCATTAATCAAAAACTACATTTCCCATGGAGGGAGGCCATGACTATGATACAGGCCATTTGATTTAACATGTCAGACTCCTCAAAGTTACCTTCATACTTGAACCTAGCATAAGGATGGTGAGACTCACCTTATTCTCCAAGCACTGTCCCTCAATCCCAAGGGAAGTGTCAATGGAAGAAGTTTGAGAAGACAGAAAGCACAGTACTCTCCAGTTAAGAAAGGAAATCAGCTTGCTGTCTAAGCTTCCTGTTCAGTTCCTCTCCTCTCACCATAGGTTCTATGTTTCTCAGAAGTTTGGAAAGTTTTGATGTCATAGTGAAGTCTTAGAGAAGTGATTCTCAGTCTAGTTACATGTAGAAATCACCAGAAAGTTTTAAAGTGACAGATCCTTTAGGGCCATTCCAGAACTATTGGATCAGAATCTTAAAAGTGCAGGCTGGCTGAGTGTAGCTTTAAGAGTTCCTCAGGGGATTCTGGTTGATAGTTACTAGGTTACTAGGCTACTGCCACCATTGCTAGGCCTTGCTCTGGGGTAACTAAATATTTTTAGAAGGGTTCTTCAAGTTCACAGAAGGAACTAAAGTATCATCTTTTTGATAAGTTCCTAAAGACTACCTGTTGCCACATAAGCCCATCTTTCAACCTGTCCCCTTTCTTTATGGGGAGCCAAATATAGAATTCCACAGAAAGTGATAGGACAAGCTCAGTACACCTTCAAAATCAAAATTTTAGTTCATTTTTGGTGTATTTAATCCAATATACCAGGACCTAAGCTAAACATACACATGTAACACGTCATTTAATCACTTCCATAGTTGTGTAAGGGATTATCATTTAATTGATTAGGAAAACCAGTGAGGATAGCCTAAAGTTACAAGGCTTACCTGTTTCAGTAGCATTATTATTAATTATTATTATTATTATTATTATTATTATTATTATTATTGAGACAGGGTTTCTCTGTGTAGTTTTGTGCCTGTCCTGGAACTCACTCTGTAGCCCAGGCTGGCCTCAAACTCACAGAGATCCGCCTGGCTCTGCCTCCCGAGTGCTGGGATTAAAAACATGTGCCACCACTGCCCAGCTTCAGTAGCATTATTAATATTGTTTGAAGTAATACATGTAGAACATTGAAATATTGGATACGTAGCAAACAGTTAGGTTACACTTTACATATATTAATCAATTTAATAAAATAACCCCATGAGATAGAAATTATTAATCAATATAATCACATTTAAAGGTAAACTGGATCAGCTGGTAATTCGTAGAGTAGGGATGGAAAGTCAAGTGACCTGGGTCTAGAATCTGGGCTCTTAGCCACTAAGTCATAAGGCTCAGCTCACTGTACTGAGCTACATTAATCAGATTCTGATTAATGATTCTGAAGTGTAGGCTTTCCCTCATACCAGTTGGTGTTGCCAGGCTCCAGGAGTTTTTCACTGAAAGTGGGGAGGGAATATAATACGAAATGTGTATTTAAAGGTAGAACCTAAACTGGGCAGGATGGTGCCCACTTGTAATCCCAGCACTTAGGAGATGGAGGTGGGAGAATCAGGAGTTCAGGATACCCTTGGCTACAAATTGAGTTTAAAGTCAACCAGGGTTCTATGAGACTTTATCTCAAAATCCAAATAAATGAATAAAAATAAATAAATGGAGGCAGAATCTGATTTAGATGTAAAGTAAATGAGTACAGACCCAGTGTTGTAGGAATTTAGGAAGAACTGGGTTTAGGACTGTTGAGCAAGACCCTGAAGTTTGAATAGGATTTGGCTCAGCAACAGGAAAAGCTATATAAGTGAAGTCAGAAACAAACATAGCACACCCCAGTAGACAGAGACCACAGTCCTCTTTGATGGGGGAGTGTATATCAGAGGGGCAGAAAACAAGATTGGTTTGGCATAGAGAGTCTTTAAATTTTTTTTGGACAAGGACAAGAATATAAGCGAGAGACAACAGAAAGATACTGACCCTGTGAAGGCTGTGGCTGGGCTGTTAAACTGCCTCTGACAGCCTGTTATTTATCCTCCCCCATCAAGGTAAAAGACCAATAGAACCCGCAGACCTCTTCAGTAGAACTTGGGTTTCCTTGATAACAGCAGGTGATTTAAATCTTCAGGGCCCATATCACGTTACTCTAGGCCCATAGCGTTTGAGGCCCCTATAAATAAACGAAGACAGAGTCTCTTTTCTAAAAAGGCAAAGTCTCTCTCAGAGGTGTTTGAAATTTTATACCTTAAGCATTTGATTATTTCTTCAAAATAAAACATTCTCTTGGGAGCAAGCATGCTAAGTTCTTTTAGTAATAATGTTGATCATCCCTGACTCTTTTCTTCCACCCCCACCCAGGATTTTGGGCTCATGTGAAAGCTCTGGGTATGGAAAAAATGGGATTATTAAACAAGCAGAGAAAAGGCTGTGGGAAGGAAGCAGGTGCAAAGGCATCTCTGACATGGAACTTTCCTGGAACCTTTTACTCTCTACCTTGAAAGAAACTTGGAGTTGAAAGTTTCTTTAGGTAGAGGGTTGAGGCTTGGTTGGAATGTAAGAATTATCTCAGTGCTAAAATTTATTCAAACATCTAAGATTCAAGAGTCATTATTAATTTTCTCTTGCTAATTAATCTGGCTTTTCATCATGGGGCATATTTCATCGATTTAGTCTTAATAATTCAATAAATTATTAGTATTATGTCTTTAATTTTTTTTTTCTTCTTTTTTTTCGAGACAGGGTTTCTTTGTGTAGCTTTGCGCCTTTCCTGGAACTCACTTGGTAGACCAGGCTGGCCTCGAACTCACAGAGATCCGCCTGCCTCTGCCTCCCGAGTGCTGGGATTAAAGGCGTGCGCCACCACCGCCCGGCTCATGTCTTTAATTTTTTAAGACAAATTCTTATGTCTGAAGGGCTCTAGCAGGCCTGGTCATGGCAAACATGGTGCTGGCAGGCCTTGCCCTTTCCCTTCCCTCTCCTTGTAAACCATAGATTACATCCCTAGAGCTAGCCATCAAGGTCTATTCCCTTATTTGGATACTTTTTTTTTGTTGTGTGGTTTTTCAAGACAGGGTTTCTCTGTGTACCCTGGCTGTCCTAGAACTTGCTTTGTAGACCAGGCTATCCTGGAACTCATAGAGATCTGCCTGCCTCTGCCTCCTGAGTGCTGGGATTAAAGGCATGTACCACCACTGCCTGGCTAAGAATTTGCATGTTTAGTATGCTTCTTTTAAAACACTTTTATTTTTTGTAGTATCTAACAAGTTTCCAAGGTGCTGCTGCTTCTGTGGTATCACACTTGCAGACTCAATGTACTAGATACTGCAAAGGAAATCAATATTGGGCATCATACTGGTCATTAGGGTGTGGGTGGGAGAGACAAAGCATATGCTTGAAAATATAGCAAGGAAGCTAGGTCTGATGTGACATGCCTGTAATCCCAGCACTCTGGAGGTGGAGGCAGGAGATCAGAGGTTGAAGGTCTTTCTCAACTATATAAGGAGATATAGATTTAGTATATCCTGGAGTTCACAAGACCCTTTCTCAACCCTCCCAATCTTTTATATAAATAGGTTTATACATAAAATAGAGTAGAATAGAACACAAAATTGAATGGAATAGTTGGAAAGAGATAGGATCTGACCTGGGTCCTAAAAGGATGCTGGGGCCTAAGGGTCAGTAGAAAATAACAGGCATTCTAGATGGGGATACAAAAGGGAAAGTGTAGAGGTGTATGGGGCTGGTAGTAGATATTTGTTTGGTGTAGGTTTTGTCCGGGACACTTGAGGAGGGGTAAGGCCAAAACGGTTGGTGCTGCTTTATGAGGAGCCTTGAAAGCCTGTTCCTCTCCTCAGCCTCCGCCCAATTCTTAACACAGTACTGCACAACCAGAAAGAGGAAGTCTCCTCTGCTGAGGGTGCAACAGGAAGTGCAAGAGGCCTCTGAAAGCCTGTGAGCCACAGTGACTGTTCTCCCCCAGGAACCAATTGCAGTGGCACCCGGAAACACGGTGCACCAACCAGGCTTCTACATAGAGGGTGTTGCCACCCAGGCTGAGACTATTTGGGGCTATTGGGTCTTGCTATCTGGATGATCCTCTTTCTCGGTGGCCATCATGTCTTTGACCTCTGCCTACCATCATAAATTAGCAGAGAAACTCACCATCCTGAATGACCGAGGCCAGGGAGTTCTCATCCGCATGTACAACATCAAGAAGGTAGGTACAGATCATTTTATCGAATCAGGGCAGGAGCCTGGAGGCCTACAGGCCCAATAGTTAAGCCTCCCCGCTTTCCCCCCCTACTGCTTTAAGTGGCTTTCAGGCACTCAGATGATATAGGGCACTCAGTCTGGGGAGCTAGAGGGAGGCTTCTTTTTAAGGCTTGCCCTTTCTAGGTATGATTCTTGCCTTTCTGAGAGCATCATCTTTCCCCTAGGACTGGGGGTAGGGGTAAAAATGGGGATGAGAATATTTATGTTCTGAGTGATTTGGATAAGGGTCTGGGATCTAGAGTTTTGGGTCTATTTATTGCTAATTCCTCTACTTTTTGAGATTTCAAGTTGGGTTTCTGTCAAAAGCTTTTTTTGTGGAATCATTTCCCCAAATAGATTTTTTTTTTTTTTAAAGGAGGTAGGTATCTTCTAAGGTACTTTGTGGCTGTGCATTCTCTCTCTCTCTCTCTCTCTCTCTCTCTCTCTCTCTCTCTCTCTCTCT